ATCACTTGCTTGCCACCCATGTTTAAACACAGTATTGACATACACTCTCTTCCTTATCTCAAAAAATCCTACAGCACATTTCTAGATAAAGTGAATGAATCTTCTATCACAGTCCATTGTGAAAGGATTTCTGGTATAAATGTAGCTGGTGAGCTATTTGGGTCAAGTGGAACAAGAAAGAGCAGGTCTGGGTTTATTTTAGCAGCATGGTGTGGAGTAAATGGAAGGATAGATACCTCTGGTACTAAAGTCCGACCTGGAGTAGTAACACACTTTATAAGACAGAATGTAGAGGTYGATGGTTGTATGGAAACCTGTATCTTGGCTGAAGTYAGATGGTTCCAAGTACACCCAAGAAGAGATGCTTTGGGAGCACCATTGCAAGTGTGGTGCAATAACCACTATGAAATAGAAGGCCCTGCAGATTTTATACCATTGCAAAGAATTCATGCTAAATTTGTACCTGCGATTCAGGTGCTTAATAATGAAAATGTTTTAGTTGTTTGCCCCTTGCCACGCAAATTGCAATGCTGATATTTTCATATCTTGTTTTAGTTACCATTAAATTTAAACATAAGGGGCWGTTWATTTTACTACTGGGGAGGACATGTGCAGGTGAGATTTTGAGGGTTCATAAAAAAATCATGCCTAATGTCAATAGATCCAATGCAGCACTTTGGGGGGAAGCTTATTGTGGGGGACAARRCAATAGAGTTCCAAATGTCATGAGATTTAAYTTTTTTTMTTTTCCTTCATATYGAATTGCTTTGACTTGGCATAAAGGGGTTCATTATAACACCTAAGAATAGAGTACTTGGTGTGATGTACCATTCAGTTTTGAAATATTCATATTAGAGGAGAACACAACAATGTCTCCCTTTCTGCCAGTTTTAGGCTGTTTTGAGCAGCAGAAATGAAGGTATTTGATATTATAGCTTGGAAAAGACATATACTTTGAATTAATGATTCATTATTCTGAAAGGTATAAGAACAGTYTAGACACTTTCCTAATGTTCTTCTTTTTTCTCTTCATATTTTTGTACTCAAATTGCTAGACCATATCTGACATTGATAGGAGCTTAATCAATAGTCGTCATTATTATACCAAAAAAACAAGCATCGCCATTAGAAAGAACTAACAAATTTTTATAACACTGGAAAAATTTAGTACTATCAACAGTATTCCAATATAGTTTATTAGCAATCAATATGTGTTCAGTCTGTGATGTCTGACTAGCCCAATTCAAACTTTGTAAACATATGATTGTGTAATCTACAGTATTATAACCATTATCTTTGAAGTGTGACCCTTAAATTTCAAGTGCCATTCGCRCCGACTAGCATTTCACCGACCGTGAATTCAATAACTGAAATTGAAAAGCAACAATAAATTCTCATTCTGAGGGAGATTTTAATTTTTCTTCTAATATTCTAAAGTTTTTATTATTGTTATCATTTTTATTAAAAAATAATATTATTCTAAAATTATTAATTCAGTTTCATATTTTGTATCAAGCAAGGAATGTATTGTTTATTTTTAATTTCAGTTCAATGATTGACT